GAAAAAAAACATAATATAAATAAATTTAAAAAATTATCAAAATAAAAAATTACAAAAGAATACTGAAAATCCTTTAATAATTTTTTACTAACACTATTTTCGTTTCTTTATTAAAAAGAAAGGTATTACATTCTAAAATATATATATCATAATTCAAACTTACATAAATATAATAATCACTCAATCAATTAGTGGATCTTTATTTTTTTAATTATTATATTTCTCTAATTTATTCCGGCCATTGTAATTTAAAATATAAAAATCAAAATATGGCAAAACATATAAAATATTGGGTGTGACATCACGCGGTGAGTCAGATCGTGAAAGTGTCAATTTGTTCCAATGGCAACTATTTTCTATCAGATTGTAGTTGTGCTCAGAAGTATCAGAACGTGTCATCTACCTTAAAATTGATAAGAATATTTAAATATATATCAACCTATCACGTGGTCTCATTAATAAAAAAATAATTTTTAAAGAATATTTGATTAAGAAAGTCGTAAATATATGTTACATTATAATTGTCTCATACTATTAAATATATATATAGGAATATGATCATGTTATCCAATATAAAGCTCCTTTAATTTTATATAGATTTAAGACCGTTGAATGAATGAAAATAGATAGTTGAGATTAACAGTATAAAATGATAAGATATTTATCGAAAGAAAAACAATAGATTAATCTCAATCATCTATTTTCACTCATCCAACTGTTATAAATTAATCATATGTTTAATTTTTTTTAACAATTTATATATCTAATCCAACATGGAGGGGAGAGAAATGGGGTACTATAGAAAAAAGAAAGGGGAATGCTCCTCGTAAATCTAAAACACATGACCTAAGGGAATACGAGGAAACAAATATTAGCAGTTTTATATATTTACATCTCAAATAGATGATCTTATTAATGTTTATTTTTAATAACAAATCTAATCATAATCTTGCCTAGAGGGGGAATGGGAACTTTAAGAGAAAGAATGAGAGTACTATTAGTATACTAAATCTTCATCCAAAGAAAAATACAAGGGAACAATGATAAATAATTTGGCAAACCAATTAAATGTGATTGTTCAAGAAAATTTAATTTTTAAAAACATTTCCGCTTAAAAAGGAAATTACGAACATAATAAAAGAAGAAATAAATTTAGAATAATTAATATGTTGTGTAGTAAATCATCGCCATTAATATGCTTTTATCCTATTTGTCACCTCTCTCTCTCTCTCCGTATGATTAGACATTAGAGATGTAAGTAAGATTGAAAAAGGCATATATCTTAAAACATAAGGTTTATATATGCACGTTACTATAAAATGATTGATTAAATTAAATACCAGTTACAGTAATGTTAATTCTTAGAGTATGTTTGAAAGTCGTATAAAATTAGATTAGGGTTTATTTGTCCACACGGTTAATTTTGTTTGTATATGTTTTTCGTTCGCGTTTATTTGATTAATTTTTTTAATATTTTTTTGTATAATCCTTTTGCAATTTTAAGTGAAGTTTATTGTTTTAATGATTATACGAAAATTTCATATTATATGCTCAGTTTATAGTTATAATGGTAAATGTTCATTGTAATTTTGAATATTTTTTATTTTTAATAAAACTAGAGGCTTTTTATTCGTAAAAAAAAATAAGAGTAATTTGTATATTTAGTATTTAAATTATCAGTTTTAATCGTTTTAGTATCTTAACTTTCAATTTTTTTAAAATTATACCTAAAGTTTAGTTTTTGTTTCATTTTAGTACCCCTGTTAAGTTTTATAAAAAATGAAAGTCTAGGTACCATAACATGTTTAGTACCTAAATCATACTCTAGTTTTGATTTTTTTTTGAAAATTTAGTTGCTAAAATGGATCAAAACTGATAGTTTATGCACTAAACGCGTTAAGTTTTTAACGATGAATATTAAAATGAAACAAAAAGTAAACTTTAAGTATGATTTTTAAAAAATAAAAAGTTTAGGTACTAAAACCGACTGAAACTGATAGTTTAAGTACTAAATGCGTAATTTACCAAAAAAAATAGATTACGGTATAATTATATAGGTGTTACCTATTATGATTTATAAATTTTATTAAATTAAATACGTTTTAAAATGAAACATGTCATAACTTGATTAATTTATATATATTTTAAAAGTTTAGGATGATTTGAAAACGAAGAATAATTTAAGAGCAGTTATGAAAAAAAAAACAGAAGAAGTTAGATACCAAGTTGAGAAAAGAAACATATTTTATAGGTAAATTGTCAATAAAACCAGAATATTATTGAGTAATCCTTACTATGCGCGTCTAATATGTACATTTATCTTTTTAAAATTACAAAATAATTTAATTTAATGTACTAATGAAATTAGTATAAAACTATCTATAATATATTATTCAAATTATACCAAAAAATAAATTATATTCTATATATTTATTTCTTCGCATTGTAATGTACAACTACACCATTTTATATTACTTATCAAAAATATTTTAATATATTAATATTACTCATCTTATATTACCTATAAAAAATTAGATTAATAAATGAAGATTTTAAATCAAATTAAACTAGTGTCAGTAATCTACTTAACATCTCATACATTAAAATCATATACTTTTAAATAAAAATTAAAATGACGACACATATGGTGTAACTATATTATGAATTGGTCACATCAAAGATTGGTATATATCCTATATTATGGTGTGATTAGGAACGAACGTATAATTTTATGTTAGAGTTGAATTTTTAAATTTTAAGAAGAAATAAGTTTATAAAATTTTAAGAAACAATAATATTTTTTTAATAAAAAATATATAAAAATTTAAAATATATAATTATTTTAAATTTTTAAAAGAACGATTACGCCATCCGACCATCAATGGGTTTGACAATAGCCGCAACAGACAGAAGCAATGCAATTTTTTTCTTTTCGTTTCCAAACTAAAAATAACAAATTTTCTTTTTCAAGTGATAAGATTTCAGCATATTATTACATGTCCATTGGTTGTTTCTGAATTCTGATCATTCTCAGATATGACAAATGATTTGATATAACTTTTAAGGTCATCTTTTAAGTAAAGGGAAAAAAGGGACTTAATCAGTAAATTGGCGTAAATTGACATTTGAAATTACGGCCAATTTACTTAAATATATTAAAATAAATAAATTATTTAAATAGCACACATTTTAATTTTATGTGACATAAAAGAATTACGATTATTATCCGAATATAATATTAATTCGAAAATATAGAAAGCCTAATTACGAAATTGAGTATTTTTTAGGGACTAATTTACCTATTATACCAAACATAAATAATATATATTTTATTTTGATATATTTAATCATGTACTAATCTAGGGCAAATCTAGAAACTAAAAAATAAAAGTCTAAAATTTTAATACTCTATTTTAAAAATATTTTGGTATGCGTCAATAATCTTTAGAGTAAATAGTTTAAGTTTTTTAATTGACACATCTTCTCTTCCCTAAGTTATAAGTTCAACATCCATTAGAAGTAAAATTCACCTTCTCCTCCCTTATAGCAATTGTTAGAAAAAATGGGTATGTAATTTATTTTCATTTCATTAACAAATTAAATTGAATTTAACACTTTTTCCAAAATAAGGAGCCATATACATCCATCCATAGTACTAATCAAAATTAAAAATAATTATTTAACTATTGATATTTGATTCATTAATCAATTAATTTAAATTTAATACGTTAGATATATATTTTGAGTGAGTACGACTCTTAAACTCGATTTACAATGAAAATATTCAAACTCTAAATCTTGTTAAAAATATATATAACATTAATTACTCAATATTTATTTTCTTTAAGATTTAAATACAAATTATATAAAGATCCGTAAAATTAGATTGTAAAACGCTTGTTAAAAGTACCTGAATCTTGGCTTTCCACAATCAAATTTGTCGGATCTGGTCCAAAAGTCTTATAAAGATTACTCGTCATAACACGTGCCATTATTTTATTGGTCCGTAGAAAAACCTTTCGGCTGTCAGAGTATGAGGTGCGTACGAATGCACAACAAATAACGACGGCATAAATCTAGAGAGTTATAAAATAAAATAAAAATACTGAACGACACGTGTCTATTTTTGACAGCAGAAACACCGTCGTCAGATTTTTCCCAAGTCCTCTGATTTTTCTGTTTCTTTCGTCGCGTGCCCAAGTACTGAACAATAATTGCATCAGGCAAAAGACGCTTCCAGAGCTCAGCTATACTTTTTCTCTGAGTAACATTTAAATCAATTAATTGATCTAATTAATTATCGATAACATAAACCAATCATTATTAAACATAGTTCGATGTAAACTAAAATCGAACTGACCAAATCGAATAATGTTGGTTAATGTAATTAACTTGGTCTGAAATGTCCCACCACCCGATGAGAGAATATCATGAACGAAAAGTGGAGAAAGGACATATCAATGACACAATGCTAATTTTAGTATTCTGATCACATCAACCTTTTTAACCCTTTAGTTCATCTTAACTTTGGCACACCATCTCAATCTCAGTGCTGTTTGAGAACATGGGATTTGCAAAAGAAGCTAAACCCTAAAGTTATTCAAGATCAATGTGATGCCAATTTGAAGGGTTTAGATTCAATGCACGCTGCAAAAGCTAGTAGGAAAACAAAACCCATATGTAAAGTCACATCATTCAACGAATACAAGCCATGTTACACGAATACTTTTGAGAAAATAAAAAATCGAGATAATATATCGTGTTTTAAATTGAACTTGTTCGGGCATTAGCAGATGATGAACAATAAAACAAAAGTGAAAATGATCAGCATTTGACTAGATTATATATTAGTGGTGGATTTGCATATCCACTCGACGACATGATCATCACTTTGGGAGAATTCAGTAAAAGAAAAAAATGCTCGAAAATGAAAAGCTTATAAAATACAGATGAATGAGGTGAATGTGAATTGTCCATTCTTCAACAGTGGCTCGGTACATTTGGGTTGGGATGTGATTAGAATCGAGTTCAACCAAAGAAAGAAAACGAATTTGTGGTGGAAAAATATGCTGCAAGTGGATAATAATCATATGTCATAATCATATATGTATCTGTAGATGTATTAGAGCAACCAGGACAGCTGAAGTGACCTCTAGCTTGACATTTTGTACATTCAACAGATTTTACCTTAAATTCCTCGGACTGATACAAATAATCGATAAGGCTAAAACTGAATGGTCCATTTGTTTTGATTAATCCAGTTCCTCTACATCTTGAGCATGCTATCACCTGTAGACCACCACATCTCTTGCACAAGCCCAATGAACTGCAAGTTTAACAGGTTGCATATCAGCTCGTGCACCGTATTAACAACGATACTAACCGTGTAGATTACAGCAGCCAAATGAACATATCCTAGAAGGTTTTTTTTTCCTATCAGAGTTGAATAAAAGTGGGGAACCTCATGCTATAGATCATGTATGTTACCTACCTTAATAAAATAAAGCTGATGTGAAACTTATATTTAGGAAGAAATCGAATCAGTTCATTCACTCGACAATGAGTCTAGAGCTTTATCCGTTACCCCCCCCCCCAACAAAAAAAAAAGCATTCCTAGCTTGATCCTTAAGTTTATTATCAGAAAAGACAAAAAGGCAACCTCTATATGCATTACACAGCAGACAAGTTTTCCTAAAATAAGTGAAACACAAGTACCATAGCACGATAAACAACATAGCCGCAAGCTGATGATTACGAAATGGATTATATTTAAATTTCGTGCAAAGGAGGTCATAACTTGGAGACAGGTGAGGGATTATGGATTTCATAATTCGAACTCTAAACCTGCTAAGTATCACCCCTTAAAAGTTACCGTGTGAACCAAATATGCTAAATCCTACGTTCCTGGCAGGCCACTTTTGTTTTGCCCTAGCATAACATGACAATAAAAGACATTTTTCTGTTACATAATAATTGCTTGCACCACCAGAATTTTCTGGAGGGGGAGATTTTTTTTTTGTTGCATAATTCATTGTTTGCCAGTGCATTCTTTTGAGATAGAATCATCACAAAGAACATAAATCAAACAAGAAGATATAGCAATCATTTCACAAAAATTCAAACAACCCCACAATTAAAATCTATCATAGGAATACAAAAGACATTGAGTTGAAGTACAATGATAGCATTTCCACAGGACATCCAATTGTAAACCAACAAAATGAACAACAAAAACTATATCAAAATAAACAAAAGGTGTTACAACTCACAATTCATTGAACCAAGCTAATAGTCAAAAACACCAAATTTTACCCAAACCCAATACCAAAAAAGTTAACCTTTTCCATGTTTCAATAGTATTAGAAATCTGGGTTTTACTTGCAAAGTGAAAAATAAAAGTGATGAAGCTTGGAAACAAAACAAAAAATGGGCTTCGAAAAGTTCAGATACCTTCTTTGTGAAGCAGAGATGAAAGCATCAACTTTGGGTGCAGCGATTGTAGCACACAGTAACAAAGTACCAACTCCAAAGCCTGCAACTTCGCTTGCTGTTATGTGTTCCATTTTTTGCTCTGTTTCGGTTCAGACATCTAAAATCTTATCGATTCAGTGATTCACTTTAAAGCACTTCCGTTTTTAATATGAAAATTATTTTCCTTAAAATAAATCGGCCTATTAGCTCAGTTGGTTAGAGCGTCGTGCTAATAACGCGAAGGTCGCAGGTTCGAGACCTGCATAGGCCAGCAATCTTTTTATCTGTTATTTTTTGTCATGGAGTTGTGGCAGTTTGGGCCAAATTCTGGTAATTGATTGCTCAGCGAAAAACCGAAAACCCATCTAATTGTTTGAAACAGCTTAATTGCATTGGTAAGTAACAAATAATATTTTAAATATATGAAATCAAACATCCATATTATATTCTTTTATATTAAAATTTTATTTTTCATGAGTTAATTTATGTAAATAATAAATTGATCATTTTAATAACTACAACCTTCGTTTTTGTAACCATTTGTTCACAGTTTCAATCATTGTGTGAAAACTAATTTTATTTGTGATAGCTCATTTCTGATTTACAAAGTAAATCACGATAAACATGAATATTATTCTAATGCTTGTTAGTTTCAATTGATAAATACCTTTGATCACTTAGACCAAGAATATTACAATGTTCTTATGTGACCTAAACGAGGTTACATGTCCTAGACCTCGTGCCTCTGTTTAATACTACTCTGTGTTATTGAATAGTTGTGTATTATTTAGTTTTGTAAATTTAATTTTCGATTATTTTAGATTTTAGTGTTGTTCGAGTCAAAGCATCGACATCTACGGTAGGATTTTAGTATTGTACTTAATTATTTTACTTTGATTTGTATTATTTGTAGAACCATTACATAGTGATTTATGTCGAAAAACTGCTTAGGCTAGCAATGTTACACCTATCGCAATTCCTAAAACAAGTACTAATTAATTAATCTTTTCAACGAGTACATAATGGAGAAGTTCCGGGAAAAAAACCCAAAACTCAGCAAGGTTCCAAAATTATATGATTAGAAAATGTACCCTCCATTATATACATAGCTTGCATCCCCTAAAAAATAATAGGTTCCACCATCCACACCCCATAACCCTTCATCCGCCAGATACTGATCTATCCAAGAAGCGGCATTAGCAGTATAAGAAGCTGGCTCTTGAGACAAGCACTGATCCTCTGAAGTAGGGTACATGAAAACCATCTCATGTTTCCCTTTCGGTATCTGATCAGTGATCTCGACTGCTTCACTGTTTACTTTGCCATCATCTCCAGCTTCTTCTGTTTGAAATACTTTTATCTCCTCTTTTTTATCTGGTTTTTCCTTCTGCTGTTGCTGTTGTTTTAGCTTTAGAATCTGAGCTTTTCTTTTTTGTTGCTTCAGAGAGGACTTCTCCTTCTTCTTGAAATGGGTTCTCCAATAGTTCTTTATCTCATTATCTGTTCTCCCCGGCAAGTATCTTGCAATCATAGACCATCTGTTTGATTTTTCACATACAAATTAAACACCATAATCGTAATATATATATAAAAAGAGAACCAAAAAAAAGAATTATTACTTGTTACCGCAAAGTGCATGTAATTCAATAATGATCCCTTCCTCTTGAGGTGTTATATGACCTCTTTTAAGACCTGGCCTTAGATAATTCACCCACCTAAGCCTGCAACTCTTCCCACTCCTATTCAAACCTGAAAAAAAGAAGGGGGAAAAACACATAACTCATTTGATATTCTTCATTTAATTTATCCAAGGAAATTATATATATGCATGTATAATAGTTAAATTGTACCTGCAGACCTAGCTACTGAACTCCATCTTCCTTCTCCATGCAAGTTAACATACTCAGTAAGAAGTTTATCTTCTTCAGGAGTCCAAGGACCCTTCTTCAACCCTATTTTTGGAGCTTTCCAACCCATCATTTTAACCATTATTACAAGTTATTTTTTTTCACCCACTACTTTCACTTAATAAAAATTGTTGTCTCCAGATTGTATGACACAAGTTCTTAGCTTAACCCTCTTATATATCTCTTCAATCATGTCAGTTCAATGTTTCCACCTTTTTTTAATACATTTTGATGATCTCATTAGGAAGACAGGATCTTTGAAATGAAATTTCAGCTTGAATTCCTTTTTTTGTTTTTGTCCTTCATAATATCCTCTCGATTTAGTACAAGTGTTAAATGTCTAAGTGCTTACCAGCTCAATCTCTTTTAACCAATCACAAATCGACAGTTGTTGTTTATTACATGATCGTGATTCCTTAACACGATCTCGAACTACATTGTCTTGTCATAACAACAAGATAGACATAATATGACTCCTTTTAGACCTAAAGGAAAACAAGTTTATTTACTTTGAAAAACGGAGTCTATTTTCAAGCAGCTATAAGTTCAAACCTCAATATTTACATCGTATTTTTATTAATAAAGAAAATAAATTTTAATATTTATAATTTTAAAAAATTGAAATAATTAATATTCGACAGTACGTCGATCGAAAGGATAGAAAGAAAAAAAGCTAGTGGGTTGTTGATGTCTCCTTGATAATGGCTTATCGTCCACTAACTATGGAACGCTTGTTGGCTAAACAATTCTTAAATGCATGCTTTAGGAATTGTTTATTACTAAAGAAGCTTATAGGATGTCATTTAAGGTAATGGAGGAATTAAATATACGATAAAAGGCAAGATTTTTGATGAGTCATTCATGCTACATCTGGAATTTTTACAGTACCTTTACGCCGTATAAATATATATTGCATGTGTGGAATGTTTGGGCATTAATTAATTGGACCAAAGTTAATATTTTAATGAACAATGCCTACATATAGGTATTGATGTGTAACATGTAAACTATTCATTAATATTATAAAAAGGAAAAGGGTACGTCAAAAGATTCCGTGTTCAATGTACTCATCAAGATCTTGTCTTGTAAAGTTGTAAGATTTATAAGTAGTGACAAAGGCTTGATTTGATGGTGGTGAAAATGATGTAACAAAAGTTTGTGGGATTGGTGTTGGGTCTCTTTTAAATTTTAAGATATGACAAATTTATAAAATTTAAAAAAATTAAAATATAAAATTAATTAAAAATTTAAAAAATATCTAAAATATATATTAATTTAAAATTTTCAAATGAATGATTACCTTCTCCTCCTTCGATTCATCCCTTCATTCTTTACTGGGTGTATGATTTATTGTTTTGCTTTGCTTTTAAGTGGTTCAAATCCATGGTTAGATATTAATTCATTTAATTTCTTCTCGGAAGTTTTTCAAACCAAATGATCTTTTAAATCGATTCAAATTGAATTTATTTGTTTGAGTGTATTTTAAAATTTAAATAGAATTATTTATAATGTTATAGTTTTTATTGATTCTAATTTAAATCATTTTGTCTAATCACATAATATATATATATATATATATATATATATATATATTATTTCACTTGTGTAAATAAGATTTATAATATTATTTAATAAATTAAATATCATTTAAAATTATATAATATGTTTATAATGTTATTTTTAAACAAGGAAGGTTGAAGATTACATATTGATTGGAGTATAAAGATGCCAAATAATTAATGGGAATAAAGAATTTGCAAAGAGTTGCATGCGGAAGACTAAATTGAATAAAATGTAAAGTTAAAGTACTAAATTGAATAAAATGTAAAGTTAAAGTACTAAATTGAAAAAAATAGAAATTTTATGTTAGAAGCGTAGATGGGCTCACGATAATTTATAACTCGAACTTCTATTCAAACAAAATACGTTACAATGACACTACCTCAATATTGTAATACTGCAATACTAGCTGCTGCTAGTTTACAAACTCACCAATATTTTAAGCTTTGCTAAGCTCTCTCAATTCTCTCTATTTTTCTCTCGTATATTTTTCTTTCACTCACTCTTATTTTTTTCTTCACTCATCTACAAGCTTGCTTTGCTCACATATATATACATGTAATAAACCGACTTTGAAAATGTTAGAAGCTTCTCAATTTCTCCATTGTTTGCCGCCTTACATGATGAACATATTTGCTTGTCTTCATTTGCTTTCATTAAAAATCTTTGTACTACTATACTGCCGACACTTTAATTTTCCATGGTTGCTTGCCACGTTATTTCCTTTGTTCTTAAGCATTAGTATGCTGCCATTTTATAATTTTTTATGGGACCACCTAAGCTTTCTACACTCTTCTTTGAGTTTGACTTCAACACTCCCCCTCAAACTCGACTTCTCATTCCAAGCTTTTCTTTGAGTCGGTTAAATATATCTGCTCTCAATGGTTTTGTGAAAATATCTGCTAGTTGATCTTCAGTTCTGCAGTAAATTAGCTCCACATTTTTGTTCTTCATCTGCTCTCGTATAAAGTGATACTTTGTATCAATATGCTTGCTTTGACTATGAGAGACTGAATTCTTAGCAAGAGAAATTGTAGACTTGTTGTCGACATAGATTGTAATTGGTTCTTCTTGTGTCAAATTTAGCTCGTTTAAAATATTCTTTAACCACATTGCTTGGCAAGTGCACGCTGTTGCGACTATGTATTCTGTTTCACATGTTGAAAAAGCTATCGTTTGTTGCTTCTTTGATGACCATGAAAATGTTGCAGAGCCGATATGAAATAGATATCCAGTTGTGTTTTTCTGATCGTCTAAATTTCCCCCATAATCACTATCAGAATAACCAACCAGCTTCGAATTTTCTGATCGCGTGTAGAATAAGCCATGACCTGTTGTACCTTTGACATATCAGAGGATTCTTTTTGCTGCAATCCAATGATCTTGTTTCGGATTCTCTATGAATCTGCTTACCAATCCCACATCGTATGTTATGTCTGGTCGTGTGATAGTCAGATACCTTAGACTTCCAACGATGCTTTTAAACAACGTCAGATTCACTTGCTCTCTTGTTGAATTCACACTTAATTTGACTCCTGGTTCTGCTGGAGTGGCTACCGGCTTGACATCTTCCATTCTGAATTTTCTTAAAATTTCTTCTGCATACTTCTTTTGTGATATAAATATTCCTTCTTGCATTTGCTTCACTTCAACTCCAAGAAAGTATGACATTTCTCCAATAACTGTCATTTCAAATTCTTTAGTCATAACTTTCTTAAAATCATTGAACATACATGAATTATTTCCTGTGAAAATCATGTCGTCCACATATAAGCACACGATCATGATATCACCGTCTTCATTTTTCTTTTGTATAAGGCATGCTCGTATAGACTCTTCATGAACCCATTTATCTGGAAATATTCATCAATTCTCGTGTTCCATGCTCTCGGGGCTTGCTTCAGACCATATAGTGCTTTCTTCAATCGGTAAACTTTGTCTTCATGTCCCTTTTTAATGTATCCAGGTGGTTGCTCAATATAAACTTCTTCTTCTAGGTAGCCATTTAGAAATGATGACTTCACATCCATTTGATAAATTTTCCATCATTTTTTTGCTGCGACTGCTGTGAGAAGTCTGATGGTCTCGATCCTTGCTACTGGAGCAAATACTTCATCATAGTCTATTCATTGTCTTTGCTTATAGCCTTTGACAACTAGCATCGCTTTGTGCTTCTCGATTTTTCCTTCTTTATTGGTCTTTGTCTTGTAAACTCATTTTACTGCAATTGGGTTATGACCTCCTGGTTGTCTTGTTGGCTCATATGTATCATTTCTTTCTATTGATGCAATTTCTTCATCCATTGCATTCCTCTATTTGTCATCTTCAACCGCTTCTTCATATGTTATTGGATCACTGTTCACAAGTAAGCAGAAAAGTGAAACATTATTTAGTTCATAATCGTTGTACCTTTCTGGCATTCTTCTCTCTCTTATGGATCTTCGAAGTTCTGTGGGAGGTGCTTCAGAATATTCTATTATGTTGCTGGCATCGTTGCTGCTGCTTGACGATGATGGTATATTTTGTTGAAGACCTTGATCATCAACTTGTTCATCATCTTTATCTTCATTAAAAAATAGTCCTTCAACTTTCTTTTTCTCTTTGCTCCATTTCCAATGGTCTGCTTCATCGAACTCAACATCTCTTGAAATAATTATCTTCTTGGTAAGAGGATTATATAATATGTAAGCTTTGCTTCTTTTATCATAGCCAATGAAAATACATTTTTCTCCTATGTCATCAAGCTTCTTTCTGGTCTGTTCAGGAACGTGGGCATATGCGATGTATCCAAAAATATTGAGGTGTTCAACTCCTAGTTTCTGACCACTCTATGCTTCGTTTGGCGTCATATACTTCACACTTTTTGTTTGACATCTGTTCAATAGGTAAACTGCAAATCGAACTACTTCAGCCCATAAATTTCTCGGTAGTTGCTTGCCTTTTATCATGTTTCTCGCCATGTCAAGAATTGTGCAATTCTTTCTTTCTGCAACTCTATTTTGTTATGGCGTGTATCTGGCTGTCAGCTGATGGATGATGCCATGCTCCTTGTAAAATTCTTCAAATAACTTTGATGTATATTCGCTTCCTCTATCTGATCTGAGTATCTTCAAATATTGATCGCTTTGTTTTTCCGTCATTGCTTTTAAATTCTTTCAATTTTTCCAACGCTTCTGACTTTTCTTTCAAGATGAAATCCAACATTTCCTACTAAAATCATCAATAAAAGTTAGGTAGTACCTGTTACCGCCAAGCGATGATATATCAAAAGGACCAACTATATCTGTGTGTACTATCTCCAGTGGTCTTCGGGCACGCCAGGATCTACCAACTTCAAAGCTTTGTCTATGTTGCTTTCCTTTGATGCAAGCCTCGCTTATTTGATTTGGAGGGTTGATCTCTGGTAGTCCTTTCACCATGCTTGTTTTTGATAACAACTTCAAACCAAAAAAATCCAAGATGTCCATATCTTAGATGCCATAGCCATTATTTGATCGTGGTCTTCATGCACTTGACTTCTCCCGACTCGATATCAATTGTAAAGAGACGATTTCTAGTCATATCAGCTTGGGCTATCAATTATCCTTCTTTATTTTTGATGGCAAGCGAGCGGTTCTTCATCTGCACTTCATATCTTTTTTTCAGGAGTTAACCAAGACTGATGATATTGCTTTTCAAAGCAGGTACATAATAAACATCTGAAATGTGTTTATTTTCTCCATTTCTCTGAGTAATCATGACTTCGCCTTTTCCTTTTAGTTTTGCGTACGAGCCATCTCCGAGCGTTACTCGTCCATGGATTATTTTATCTGATTTCACAAATAGTTCCCTTTGACCACACATATGATTACTGGCACAATTATCAAAATACCAAATATTTTTCTTGTATTCTTTATTTCCTTTATAAGTGAGGAATACATGAGATTTTTCAATTTTTTTCTTATTGAGCTGCTGCTACGTTATTTATTTCTTGTTTAGGAGCAGATCTACAGTCATAACTATAATGACCATACTTATTGCAATTATAATATTGTACCTGAAATTTACTTCCTTGTTGATATCTGCCCCTACCTCGGCCTTTGAATCCTCGTCCACAGCCTGATGTTGAATTGTTTTCAGTTATTTGAACGATGTCATATGATTGACCACCAAGTCCACGAGTTCCTCGTCCTCCTTTGTATCTTCCACGATAACCGCCACGATTTCCTCGACCTCGTGTGTAGCTGCTGCTAGCTTCTCCTTCATTGACATTAATCTTGCTTTATAGAGCTTGCTTCAGATTTTCAGAATATTTATTTTGTTTCATTTTCTGCTCATGGGCTTGAAGTGAACCCACAAGCTCATTAATCGAAATTTGGGATAAATCTTTTAATGCTTCAATTGCCACCACCACGTATTCGAATTTTCTTTTCAATGACAGCAAAATTTTTTCCATCACTCTAACATCATCGAGTGATTCGCCATTTCTTTTCATTTCATTTACGACCGCTTTCACACGACTAATATAATCATCGATGATTTCTGTATTTTTCATTTTTAACATCTCAAACTCAGCTATAAGAGTTTGTAAGCGTACATTCTTTGCTTTTTCGACACCTTGTAGAGATTTTTGCAAAATCTCTCACACCTGTTTTGCGGTCTTCACATCAGAAATATTTTCAAAAGTAGATTTGTCTACTCCTCGAAAATAAAGAACAACAATCTTTTATCTTTTTTCTGGGATTCATTCAATATCTTTTTTTCTTCATTGGTCAGGGTTGCTTCTGCTGCTGCATTGCAGGCTCGGTGTAACCATCCTCGATGATATCCCAACAATCTTGGGAGCCTAGTAACACCTTCATTTAAATGCTCCAATTGCCATAATTTGTCTTTGTCAATCTCGGGATTTATGGTTGAATCCTGTTAGTCATCTTTTCCACCATGTTGAACTCGAACCAAGCTCTGATACCACTTGTTGGAAGCGTAGATGGGCTCACAATAATTTATAACTCGAACTTCTATTCAAACAAAATACGTTACAATAAAACTACCTCAATATTACAATACTGCAATACTAGCTGCTGCTAGTTTACAAACTCACCAATATTTTAAGCTTTCCTAAGCTCTCTCAATTCTCTCTATTTTTCTCTCGTATATTTTTCTTTCACTCACTCTTATTTTTTCTTCACTCATCTACATGCTTGCTTTGCTCACATATATATACATGTAATAATCCGACTTTGAAAATGTTAGAAGCTTCTCAATTTCTCCATTGTTTGCCGCCTTACATGATGAACATATTTGCTTGTATTCATTTGTTTTCATTAAAAATCTTTGTACTACTGTGTTGCCGACACTTTAGTTTTCCATGGTTGCTTGCCACGTTATTTCTTTTGTTCTTAAGCATTAGCATGCTTCCAAAAGTTGCAGCCATTTTATAATTTTTTATGGGACCACCTAAGTTTTCTACACTCTTCTTTGAGTTTGACTTCAACATTTTAGTTATGCAGGTATTTTGAAGTACTATAGGAGTATGTAGTTCAAATTTAGTCCAAAGCATACTTAAAATAAGGGTTAAAGTAAAAAATTAAATCGATTTTTTTTAAAAATCCTTTTGCATTTTTTTGAATATGAATAAAAATTATCCTATTTTATTTATAATTTTTTTTCATTTGAAATTTTCACGTAAAATCTTGATATTTATTTTTCTTTTTACGATGATTTTTGTACTTATCATTATTATCATACATCTTATAACAAAAACAATCAAGACCAATTTCTCCATCCATCTCCACCATTGCAACTACAAGAAGAAAAACCCCAATACAAGACAATATCATTTGTTAAAGTTTGATTGATTAATTATTTGACGTATGATATTTTATAGATATATGTCAAAGAAATTTAAAGGGTTTTCAACAAGACAATACTTACGAACTTACTTTAATTAATGGAAAAATATATTAGTTTTACTTCCTAAACCAAAATGACAAAGATTAAGATCAACTGTATAATATGTGTAAATATTGGAAATGAGCATTTAACTATATATATATATATATATATACTGCTATAGCATGGCATTTTTATCCTATTTCACACTTCTTTGTAGATGAATTTAGCAGAAAACCTTGTAGCTTATTGTCTCATATGGAGGAAGATGAGCATCCGATCGAACCCATTTCCGATCTTGGGATCGACAAGATTAATGTGCGTATGTTTGATGATGCCAACTGATATGCCAACTCTAGTCGTGCATCGATCCTGCCTCTGCATTATTGAGCAGGGAAGCCTTCATACTACCCGCTGGTTTCTTTGGAAACCAGATTAGTTGGTAAGTTTGAAGAAAACAATTGTTTTAGAAAAAAAAGAAGAAAAACTTATATGTTTCGTTCTGTTATGATAATGAACATTTTGTATAGTTATAGCAGTCGGTGGTTTCTAAATTTTGAGGCATTGGTTGAATCATTTTGTATAATTTGGTCGAAATTTTGCAGATGTATGGAATTCTCTCTTTGATTGTAACATGGTTTCGTTCTATCCCGACAAAAGAAGAAACGGAGGAACACAGCTCAGAAACTCACACAGCCTGCATTAGATCATGAAAACAGGAAAAAATAAATCATTTCCTAGTCTGGTTAGAACATGTTTGAATTGTACAAAATCTCCTCGTGTTTGATTACTCTATATATCTCTTATGTACATGCGTCTGTCAGTTGGATGAAACTCTAATGTGTAGACCATTTGGTGCTTCCACTCTTGGAAATTTCATCAATTTTTCTCCCCCAACTTCTTCCCATCTGCACCCACAAAACAAGATTCATAATCAATTTTCTTTCCTCTTTTAATGTTATTTTTCAGAATGATTTTATTTCTAGTTGATTAAATTACCTGTATCTAGTTACAAAATAGTGAAGGAAAGTAGAAATTTCTGCAATCCCAAGCTCCTTTCCTGGACAATGCCTGGTGCCTCCTCCAAATACCAAGAAATAGCTTTGAGATTCCAAGCCCTTGTCCTGTATCCATCAATCGTTTCAAATTAAACATTGGATTTCATTCATTGGTTGAAAAGAATTGCAGGAAAAATCAGGGTTACTAACCATCCATCTCCATGGATTGAAAGCTAATGGATCTGGGTATAGGAAAGGATCATAGTTTACTTCCCTTGTATAAACATAAATTCTCCACCCTTTAGGAATTACAAATCCTGAAAGAAAAATATTAGTCATTGGTGAAAATTCAATCATTGACAAAACAAGACAACGAATCATCCATGGAACAGTCCAGCTGGACTGGTAGGTATGTCATTGTTAATCATGATAGGGGTAAGGTCCACCAAAGCAAGATGAACTCATTTTCTTTTACATTTTTTTATAAGAGAATTGTTAAAAAAAAGGTTGGAAAAAGTGCAGTGAACTGCAAACTCAGCTTCTTGAGCCCATAAAGTTGAAATTTAGAAAGTTAAAGGATCAAAAAGAATTATTTCAATATTTTAATGGCTCACCATTTAGTTCCATTTCATGTGTAGTTTTCCTCAAAACTCCATTAACAATTGTAGCTAATCTTGAAGTCTCAAAA